CCCAGAGCTCTGGTTACGCCACTGATAACCTAGTAATAGCAACATGAGCTTGTTCCACGTTTGTGGGCGTACCGTTAATGCGCGCACCTGTGTGCAGGTTTGACGCACATACGCCCTGGTGTGAAGGGGCAAAAAAAGTTTTGCCTTCAGCTGTGCTTCAATTTGTGAGACAAGTTATATCTCAATTGGTGCAATTGCTCATAACCACCAAACAGCTCCTATATTAAATTTTTTCCACGTAGCTCAGAAAATGAAAACGTAAAAGCTGACTGGCTGAGCTGCAGTTGAGACACCTAACTAATGTATCCAATTATTACTGTTATTAAAGGTTACATGTTAAAACTATCGTATCAAATTATTATTACATTCATTATAATGTCATTTTTATAAAGCCGATCCCCCCTCGATCACAGCTCCCCCTCCACGCCACCAGGGCGACGGAACCAGTATTACCGTCTTTCTAACGAAACAGGTCTTTAGCCAATCCTAACGCAGCTGGCTCCCAGCATCTCTACCATTGGCTCTCCCAGCAAAGGAAACAGATTGGCTGCGTGGGAAGAGAGGGGCGGAGCTAAATCAGGAAGTGTTTGTCTGGGCATCTTTCTTGCTGCTTCCGGTACACAGAGGCTCAGCTGCTGGATGGCCGGGGGTTACTTGTATACCGAAGAGCCGTGACCGGGAGGTAATGGCAGTGGGTAGGCACAATAGCACGGTTACTATGGCTGGCTTAAGGCGATACAGTGGTTTACGGGTAATGGCAACGTTTCTGAAGCCCTGCTATGGATTTCATGAACCCTAAGGAATATATTATATACTGTCTGTATACATATGGATTTATTCAGAGGATATGTATAAGCAGTATTTCCTACAGTCACCTTCTCGTATTGTGCTAGGCTTTGTAATACAGACAGCATGGGCTCTGTTTTTGTTTTGGTGTTCTGTATTGACAGTGTGCCAGCCATTCACAAGTAGGTGGACAGTTTTAAAGTGACCCTGTCATTAGAGAAGTATGGAGGCTGCTGATGCCAGTCTTCTGAAAAAAATGCCTGTCTGTCTGGCAACAATACTTTTTGAATCACAGACCAGAGATCTATGCTATTCTTTGAAACTTATAGGCCAACTCCAAGCACAAAGATCTTACAGGAGTACAATACAATATACTAAGGTTACACTGACATTTAATTTTTAGACCAAAATATAAAAATTTGTCAGGCTGGAACTGAAAATTTATTGTTTTTCCAATCCTTTTTAGAATTATTTTTTAATTCGTTTTTTATTTTTTTACTTTTAGGGGCTTTGGGGAAATATTAGGGGGTCTAAACAGACCCCTGATATTTCCCTTTTAAAATAGAAAAAGAGATTGGGGACACAGTCCTAAATCTCTGTTTCTGCAGCCCCTGTTATGAATGAACAGAAAGCCTCTTCACTGAGTGCCCCTGTCTATTCATAAACTGTGGATAGAGTATGAGATACTATGTCCACAATCACGAATGAACAGGAAGTGATGTAGAACACTTTCTGTTCATATATAACTGAGGACACAGTAAGCTTACTGTGTCCTCAGTTATTTACAAACACTCAGCGATCAGTTCTGATTGCTGAGCGATTGTACTTCACTTAGCATTCTGACTCATCTGTCACAGGAGGCTGTGTGGGGAGGAGAGCTTGGCCTCCCGTGATACCTGACTGCGGTTTTCTCCTCAGCCTCCTGAAAGCTTCTCTCTTCCCCGCTACGCTCCAGTCTGTGTCCCCTCAGATCCCTGCTGCCTCTGCGGACACAGGCGGGGGAGAGCACCGGAAATCAGAGGTAACACAGACCAGCGTCCAGCGGGGAGGAGAGAAGCTAGTGCACTGAATTTTTGGCCATTATGGTACTTTCTGCATTTTGCCAAAGTACCAATTTCGTCTGCATTCCTACAATATGCAGTACCTTTCCTAAAGGATTCTCAAAAAGTGCCGGGTTCACTGGCATCGGGGCAACACCATGAAACAAGCTAGCTTGCTAGCTCTGTGTGTCCAAGGCCACATACAGTATATATGCATATACTGCCAGTTTCACTGCTGGTTTCTTCTCCACATATATCATCAGTGCGATATGTGGGTGGAGGTCCGGCTCCTGCAGAATTTCCATAGCTGCTCTGGCTGTAGCACTGCGTGTCTCAGACCTCCCATCTTTAATCCCCTCCTCCTAGCAAATCGCAAGGAAAATAGTCCCCAGCTCTGTTTTGTGACTGGCCAGGAGAAGAGGAGGGTGGAAATGTGACTGCAGAACTGAGGTCTATGAGACCTGCAGCACTACAGCCGAAGTGGGCACAAAAAAAATCGGCGAGAGCTGAACTTCCACCTACATTGTGGGGAGATGAACCTAGTGCTAATAACGGCAGGTGGGTTTTTAAGACACTGTATATCATGCTGTACCCTAGTAAGATTATTGTGCCTGGAGTTGGGCTTTAAAGTGAGACTAAACTCAGGAGTTAAATCTTAAAAATACATTCAAGTACCTTAACTATTAACAAAAATGTATCTTATTTGTGCATCACTCAGCTGTAGATCCTCAAATCATCTCTGAATTGGAACTGACACTGTCCTTCCTTCTAGAGGGTGGCTACTTTTGTTCACCATGGTCCCTGTGTGTGTTGTAAAGTAGCCACCACTCTCCAAGCTCAGTCTTGTGATGTACTACAATCTCACGTTTAGTTTACTCATTTGTATTGAGATTATAGTCCCATCACGGGAGCGAGTTTGGAGTGGTGACTACTTTACAACACACACATGCGGAACAAAAGTAGCCACCCTCCAGAAGGAAGGACAGTGTCGGCACCAATTCAGAGATGATTTGAGGATCTACAGCCGAGTGATACACAAATAAGATACATTTTTGTTACTAGTTAAGGTACTTGAATGTATTTTTAAGATTTAACTTATTGTGACTTTCAGATATAACAGCCAGGCAACTATGATTTTCAGAGGGTATCGTCAACAATGGCAGCCTCCATGATGCTTTCACGTGTGTATCCTTTTTAAAGATGAATGCAGCCTATATTAAAACTCCATTTGTAAAGTGAATGTAAAGCCAAAACATTTTTTTTTCTGCATAAACTAAGAAATAATTAAAACCTGTCAGCTTGTTTGTTTTTTGCTTTGCTTGTTTGAGAAAGTTACCTGGAAATGTCTCCAAAATGAGGGCTATTCCCTGCTTGAGCAGCTGTCCAACAGAACAGGTACTTCCATTGTTAGACTTACCCTCACCTTCTTGTTTTGGTGACAATGCTAAAATGATGGCTCTGCCATTACTTGTCTCAGTAATGATGGAAAAAGCATAATAAAGGGGAGGAATCTCTCCAGCGGTGATACAAAATCTTGACAGACGGTTTAATTGTTCCCTACTTTATCCAAAAGTGGAAAAGAAAGTTTTGTCTACATACACTTTGTTTTGGGTTTAATATTTAAAATGGAAGTAAAGCAGACAAAAAAAGGGCCAACAGGAGCTCTTAGCCATAATGTGCCAGTAAGCACAGCATATTAGCACATTATGGTGTCTTATTTGCCCAATCGATCTCCTCCAGCGCTGCGATGTCCAGGCTCTGTTCCCTCTTTTTCCTGGTCTTCCAGGATCTGAGATCTTTGGCCGCTTTATCAACCCGGCCCAGATGTATCTCCAGTGCCTGTGCACGGGAGTTACTTCATCTCGGCAACATTTCTGTCGCTTCAGTGTGCAGAAAAATAAACAGTGCCTGACAGGCAGCTAAAAGCTACTATGGCAGCTGACACTCACACAGTCTCTTTTGTCATAATAAGCCTGCTTGCCAACAAGACTTTACTTCCACTTTAAGGGAAATGCTTTCATTTTTAGTTTGTGGTGGTGTAGGAAAGGTTTAGAACCAGTTGTCAGGTTTTTGCTCTCTATCGGTGTACTGAATAAGAAGAGTCACTGTCTGTAGTTGTCCTGCTGACCATTATCAATGGAAATGATGATGAAGAAAATCAAACTTTGCACTTGGAAAACCTAAACTTAAAGGAGTATTATGAACAGAGTGAAATACACTCATCCCAATAATTAGAGCCGACGTGTGACACTGAAGCTGTCGCACGTCGGCTCTATAGCTCGAGAACTGAGAAATCACAAAACACTGATTTTTTTCAGTTCACATTCTTCTCCCTGCAGAGAGTAGGGTCTGTCACCGCCCCCTGCAGGGATTCCCCCTTCCCCTCTCTGCTCCTCCAGCTCTCATTGGAGGGACGGATGGGGCCGGGGGTGGGCACAGCTGACTGCTGCCAAAGAAGGTTTGACCATAGTTCTCTTAAGTAGTCATAAGAACAGGGCAACTCTTGCAATGAGGACCCTTGTTCCAATGACAACTGTATGACTATGTGCTTGGCGTCTTTCTTATTTGGACTTGTGGGCTGAACAAAAAAAACACTGCACTCCCCTATCCATGCTACTGAGCAATCGTAAACCACTGATCTTTCAGTCCCCAAACTTCTCCTTGAAGGGAGTGGTGACTGTTAGCTCTCATTCACACGAGAAAAGGCCGGCATGTACAGTTCCGGGCTGCGTGCACGGACATATTGGGCAGCTCCCGGGAGGGAACGGTGGTGCATGTGGTTAGTACGCAGCCCCTGTACTTCTCAATGGGAGTATGCAGCCGTACGCCGCCCTACGCTCACCCACCCTGCACGTCCGTGTGGGTGAGCGTACTCGTATGCTGACGGGGTGGATCCTGTCTGTGTCCGAATTGGGACACCCGCACGGACCTGCACTTGAGGTGAGCGCAGGGGGGCGTTAGGCCGCGTACTCCTATAGAGAAGGACAGGGGCTGCATACTAATCACACGCAGCACCAATCCTTCCCGGGAGCTGCCCGATATGGCCGTGCACGGAGCTGTACATGCCGGCCTTTTCTCGTGTGAATGAGGGCTTCATCATCCCCTGCAGGGATTCCCTTCCATTTCTCCAGCACTCATTGGAGGGACAGATTGGAGAGGTGGTGGGCACAGCTGGCCTTGGCTCTAGAGAAGCAGAGCCAGCTGTCAGTCAGGCAGTGGGGTGGATCCCCAGAATATTGTTGGGATCTTTCCCGGCTGCAGCATGGCTCAATGCTGTCAGCATATAGCAGGCAGTAGCCCACTATATGCTGAGTTTGGGGTCACAGGTGTAAATTAGTATATGTCCTCCTGTGACCCAAAAGAGAACTATGGCCAAAAAAAAAGGTTTGGCTTTAGTTCTCTTTTAAAAGGCGTTTCTACCTTTTTAATAGTAAATAATCCCTTTTTGCTGATTATATACCTGCACTGCGCTTAGAAATGCAAATAAACCAAATTGATAAAACTGTGTAGTATTTCTCATATACGGTACTAAAATCGTTAAAAGTATCGGAGGGGCATACAAACGTTTCCTGGTGCATGGACACTGCTAGCTTGTATGAAACAAAGAAGTTAGTGAACTAACTGTGGTTGTTTGTAAGTGTACTTTCAAGTTTATGAGAAATTCCTTTTGAGTGTATACTGAATATTTAGATCCTGAAGGAGGAGGACTGGAGTTGCCTGATACTTTGGGGGGCAGAGGAGAAGCTGAGGATAGACGAGTTCTGAATGATACAAACTAAGGCCAGGTTCACACCTGGGCGATCCGTGAACGAGTGCAGGAAACCACGAGGATTGTCGTGCGGTCACGGAGTCGCACACCACCGCTGACCGCGGTGGTGCCATTCTTTTCTTATGGCACCCCAGTCGCTCTGGGCACATTGTGCAGTTTCCTGCTGCGATTCTGCTTGTGCAACCGCCCGGATGTGAACCAGCCTTAAAAGCGCATGTGGCTTATCCTATAAAGGTTAGCCTTATACACTATATATTACCAAACGTATTGGTACACCCCTCCAAATCATTGGCTTCAGGTGTTCCGTGAAATGTCCTTGCTACTAAATATTCCGCGGTCAACTGTTAGTGGTATTATAACAAAGTGGAAGCAACTGGGAACAACAGCAACTCAGCCACAAAGTGGTATGCCAGGTAAAATGACAGAGCGTGGTCAGCGCATGCTGAAGCGCACAGTGCACAAGTTGCCTACTGTCTGCAGAGTCAATAGCTACAGATCACACACACACACACACACACACATGTCCCCACTGGGAAAAGTTCCCTTCACTTCCTGTGCTTGTGGACAGGTGGTCACAGGATATATGGCACTTCTCCACAGTGGGGAAACTGATGGCAAATATAACCACTTCAATTTTCCTGTGTTTAAATAATAATAATAATATTATGCAGATTGTATATATGGCATGCCTTCCCTAGAAAACCCACTGACCAACCCTGCTGTTGGCTGCCACTACTTGTAGAGGCAGAGATTTCTCGGTGCATCCTTGAAAATCCATTGTTTCTAAATACTTTTTTTCAGGCCATGCTTGGTCTGTGTTCTGAAAGTGATTTGGATTCAGCAGATCTCCAGCCATGTAGCTATTTCCCCATGGCACAGCAAACATGCAGTGGGAATGTGGGTAGGCATTTCCCTTTTTATGAAGTAGAAAATCTCTTCATGTTCACCTATAATGCCCCTACAACATTCTTGTTCTAAATTGGTAGTGAGGTTACCACAGGTAGTTGAATTTTACTTTAATTCTAAAGTATCCATGTAAATATTAAGATGTTGATTATGGTCTGTGTGGAGTCCATCTTGTAATATTCCTGCATTCTACCTAATATTAAATTGTATTTTTACTTTGCAGTTGTATGTAGTGATTCCTCATCTACACTTAAGATGGGACCTCGACGGAAATACGTGAAACCGTGCAAAACAAATGCTGAAGGCATCGAAAACAAATCCGGCGATCCTAAGGATTACATGAACCAGCTGTCCCATGAAGTGCTTTGCCATATATTTAAGTGAGTATTAGACTTGTGCACTGGCAAAAAATTAGTTTAGTTTCGTTTTGATTCGGATTTGTGTTATTTCGTTTTTCAGGATTCGGGTGTGAAAGTCAATTCAGAATTCGGATTCGGACGAAATTCGTTAGCGGTAGTTCGTTCGAACGCTCATTTTGGTTTCGTTTCGTTCGTTCATGGCAGCAAAGTGACATTTGTAAAAAATGTTTTTCTCCTTTTCTAATGTCACTTTGCTCCAACGAACGAAACGAATAAGAAACGAACGTTCGAACGAACTACCACTAATGAATTTCGGAAACGGAAATTCGGATTTGTTTGCATTCGTTATATCTGTAATTCGGATACATCCGAAATGTTTGAATTTCCGAAAATTCTTCCAATTTCGCACATGTCTAGTGAGGTATAGTAATTGTTAAGAGCTTATAAATATTCTCTGGATCCCTTCTGCACCCAGTTGTGAACAACAGCTGGAACTTAGTAGTTTATAGGAAATCTAAGGTCTATCCCAATCACATAAGTGCATGGAACAATGCTAGGTAATCAGGCACTAAGGAACTTTGGCAGTCCAATTCTTCTGATGCTTCAGAATCAGAACATTGGGAAAAGAGAAAAAAATGTTGGTCTGGGACTGTAATTCATTCAGCTGGTACTTAGTTAGATGTAATATCCCCCTTAACCTAACAATTGAACTAGCACATTCTCCCCACACAGCTACCTCCTCGTGTATCACTGGCTTTTTTTTCCCAACCAAATACGAGTTGATTTTTGATTTTGGAAGAGACCACCTACTTTATATTTGTTACATGTTCCCATTCACAGTGCATTACTTTAAACAAATAGTACAAATTGTGGCTTCAATGTTTTAGATGCTGCTTGCGGGAAACTGCAGGAATAAAACAAAATGCTGCTTAGTTCTCACTGTTCAAGGCAGTGGGGGGGAAGGCTTTGGGTCAGATAATTAACCCTCAAAAAAAAAAGAAAAAAGGTACCTTGCTGCATTCTTTACCGGATTTCTGTAATAAATACAGGTGGGTGCTTGTAGTGACCAGGGTTGGCGCCGTGATTAGTGTACAAATTCAGAGGACGTCACCAACACACCGTGCTATTTGTGTTTAGCAAACGTCCATTTTAATGACTGTACTTGCAACTGAATGGCATTTTTTTCAGGGCCTCGCAGGGTCCCCTTTATCAGGCTCAGAATGACACCATATAATACCATCAGCCACCTTTTTATATAGATATACAAACCAATGTGCATAAGAAAACACCTCCCACCACCCTGTTTGTACTGTGATATCAGATATCTCTTGTATATATTGGACTCAACAAAATAGAACCGCCTTTTATTCAGAATATTGGTAACTGTGCTTATAATAATAAACTTTAAAACATATTTTTTTTTTGCATTGGGGGTCCTAACGGCCATGAGTCTTGGGGAGCAAAACCCCTTGCTCCCTGATGCCTGGTCAAAGTCCATATACCCTCTTTTTTTAATTGTCATATACCGTATGTCCATCCCCATATAACCTGCCAGCACAGAAACCTGGGTATGAGTAATGGTTGAAATAGTCTTACCCTGTTTTGGATGTCTCCTGATCCAACTGGATACATGTTTGAGATTATTCCAAGTGTTACTCATACCGCATTAAGTCATGTATTTAGTATCTAATTGCATTTATAGAAGTACTACTGCATATTTTAGGTGGCTTGTATTATAATTCTAAGAATTATAATACCCAGTTTTTGTTGTTGTTGTTATGTTTCTCATACTAGTGTTGCTATTATGTGTTTTTGAGTATAGGAATTTTAAGCACATGCAAAGCTATTTATTGCTTAATAAAGCAAAATGGGTGTTGAATAGATATTTTCACCCAAAACACACACTGTAGCATCAAATTAACATTGCCAATACAGATGTCAGAATCATTTTGGGGGTGTTTATTTGTACTGAGGAACCCATTAGTTAACTGCTTTTCATTATTTTGACAATCGGCAGCAAAGCTGTAGTGTCCTCACAGTAGTAAGTGAATGGTTTCCAATCCATCACTGTTCCTGTTTTAATTGGAATTGGGGGCAAGATTCATGATTTTGCCTCCAATGCCACATGCAAAAAAAAATCAGACATGGTGACATTACCATTTGGATGTTCTGATGGGATATGATGACACTTTAAATGACCAGACTTTAATCTGCTGAGCAAAACCCCAAAAGGTTCCACTGCTGCAATACATTTTTAAGAATTTGTTTCGTAGCTAGAATCAACTGTGTAATTCTAAAACCTTCCAATAAACAATTTCATGTCTATATGTTTAATAAATATTCAAGATCTCACCGAGAATGTGTTCTTTGCACAGATACCTTCCCCTTCAGGATATAATGTGTATGGAATGCTTGTCACGGAAACTGAAGGAAGCTGTGACCCTGTACCTGCGTGTAGTGAAAATGGTAGATCTTTGTGCTGGGCGTTGGTGGGAGTATATGCCCACAGGTAAGTGTCGTCTTATAGTGTTTGCCCCCTTAATGCGAAAGAGTTGCTAATACTATTCACCAATATCTCTTTGTTTAGAAGTGGTAAAGGCATTTTTAATCTAAAATCCCTTTAACTGTCAGTTACAATAGCCTGCCCCTTTCTAAATAGTCTTTGAAATGCTGTAAGTGACATAGATTATGGTGATGTGATTCTTAGGAGCTGAGTGCACATATTTAGTAATACCATCTTGAGTCTGATTTAGTTTTTGGGGTGCAAGTTCAACTAGACCGAAATAGACGGAGAGTGGTTTGCCACATTGGTCTGGGTGCTAATATTTCTTCATATTATGTTAGCATAATATGACAGTTTTTCATGATCCTTGGTTAAGGTTAGGCTTAAAGGAGAACTATGGGGTCAGGGCTTTTCCCCATAGTTCTCCTAAGGGTCACGGGAGAACACAAACTAGCGTTCTCCCGTGACCCATAGCTCAGTATACAGAGACGCCGCAGCTGTGACCGATCCCGACAATACTGTCTGGATCCACCCAGCTGCGGGATTGACAGCTGGCTTTGCCTATCCAGAGCCAGCTGTGCCCACCCCCGTCCATTTCGCCAGTCAGCGCTGGAGGATCGGACAGGGGAGGGGAAGAATCCCTGCAGGGAGCCATGAGTGACAGTCATGGCTCTCTGCAGGGATAGATCAAGAAGTGAGCGAGCGACGCTTTGTGTTCGCTCACTTCCCGATCTACTGAGCCGACCTGTGACAGTTTCATTGTCACAGGTCGGCTCAGATTATGAGGCTGAGTGAAAATCACTTGCCTCATAATTCTCATTTTAAAGGTTGAGTTCATGGGTATATTTAGGCTCTGGTTAGGAGTAGGGGGTCATGTTTAGGCTCAGTTCAGAGATTGGGTTTATGGTTAGGTAAAACTGTTTCTATAGCCAAAACATTAAGTTAATGTAGTTGAGGACCTTTTTGTTGTTACAAAGTAAAGTCAAAAGGTATTCAAACAAAGGACTTAGGAATCCATTTTAATGCATAAAGAAGCTTGAGTTTCTCAAACTTTCTTGGGGAAAAAAACTCCTAGAAATCTTAACTGTACACATGACTTGTTTTGCTTGTTCTGATGCAGATGGCTTTGTTGATTTTGCTCTTTCCCTTTCTATTTTGGTAGGTTTCACTGATTCCAGTTTCCTGAAACTGCTTAAAAAGATGCCAGATATTGAACAACTTTATGGCCTTCATCCAAGGTATTTGGAAAGACGCAGAGTTAGGGGCCATGAAGCCTTTAGCATTCCCGGTGTATTAGAAGCTTTGCAGTCTTGCCCTAATCTCCTGGTGAGTACTCCTTATGCCCATCCAATAACTTTGTAGCAGGTATGATGTAGAATTCTGTCCCTGCTGACAGTCTTCTGTCATTTCTGCTTTACACTTTGTTTGTTTTTTTAATGTACTTGACACAGGTATTCTGTCATTTTGCACACTGCTATATTCTAGGTATCTCCGAATTTATAGAAAAATAGATGCAGGATAATCTAACCAATAAAAGCCCTTTTTCTGCTTTATTTTGCAGTGTAGAGTGAACTAATAACCATTTCTTCAGTGTTATTACTGATGTCTGTTAGCCCTTGGCAAATAATCCTCCCTATAAAAAGCATATTCACTAAAATAACGCAGACTCAACACCAGTACCAGCAAAATATATTTTTTTTTTACCCTGGTTTGCTATATTGTATGGAACTGGGTTCTTTGTGCTCGTGTCTGCCTCCTCTTTTGCATCACACTGACCGCATTCCTCATACATGGAAATTACCTACACTCACTGCAGTACTTTTGCCAAGAGTCCTTTTACTGGTAAAGACCACATCCATTATATAATGGGAGAGGAGCAAAAGTGAGAAGACACCGAAATATTGAAATAAGAAGGTGTTTTCTTTATTTTTTTTTTACAAAAAAAGTGTTTTATCCTTTTATGGGTACCTACAGAGCTTAGTGGAGTTATTCTTGTAATATATATCCCTAAAGGGATGCCTTTTTTTGCGATTTGGAATACTCTAAAACTTAGAGACCTATTTGCTCATTTGGGGTCTGTTTAAACACCGTCCCCTACCCACATTATACTTGTTTTGAAGGCACTTCCCTGCAGAGAGTAACTCCCACTGCAAAATACTCTGTGCTTGCTTGTGTTGGAGATCATGTGACCACCTCCTGTGATGCAGTGCTCAGGCCTCGTGACCAGATGCAGAGGGGGTGACATCTCTGTTCCCTTTAGACTCTCACATCAGTATTTTGTAGTGGCTAGAACAGAGAAAGAAGCTGTGAAGGTGGGTATAAGTTGGCCCCAGGGGTTGGGCTGTTAACTGATCTTGTCACTTTCCCCTAAATATTAGGGCTGCTGAAATTAACGATTACCCGATTAATCGTTAAAAGTTTTGATCGATTACAATTATTTTGATCAATAATGAAAACACTCACCTCTCCGCCGGCTTCCGGGTCTTCCGTCGGAGATCCGGTGACGTCACGGACATCGACGGCACCAAACTCCTCCCCCCTTCCCTTCGTTAGCCGACGGAGCCACTTGGGCCGGTGTTCGATCGAAAAGTTCCAACTTATGGAGTTTTCGGACCGCCTGATTTCCGGATTACTCTGAACTAAGAGGTTTGCCCAAGAAAGTTATTCTGCACGAGCGCCAGCCAAGGCATTGCCCTAGACACATTTTATTACTTCATTGCTGTGCTGTATGTGTATAAGCCAATGTAGTTGGATCTGTATATGCGTTATAAATAATCGAAATTAATCGGTTTAAAAAAAATTCGATTAATCGAACACGAAAGTTTTTTAATCAGTAACAGCCCTACTAAATATGTAGTTTTACAGGGTCTCTTTAAAGTAATAGTGGTAATGCTAAAATAAGATTGACTGACCTACAGCGTGCACTTTTTAAAAACACACCAGCAGCTTTGTTTTTTTCTCACACTTAATATGACTTGATTTATAAAAAGTGTGTGTGTTTTTAGAAACCCCATTATCACAGTTTTTTTTTCCTTGCTTTTACCTAGGGTGTGGAAACCTCACATCTAGAGCTTGTAGAAGCTATATGGACATACATGCCACAGGTCCACATTTTAGGAAAATTTCGAAATCGAAATGGGGCTTTTCCCATACCACCAGAAAACAAGCTGAAAATACCAATTGCTGCCAAAATTCAGACCTTACATTTAGTAGGTAAGCATTTAATTATCTAGCAATGATGATTACATGTGACTATTGTTACCCATTTATTAACCCATTGTCTCTTTTCACCCCATTAAAGGAGTAAATGTGCCTGAAATCCCTTGTATCCCAATGCTGCGCCATTTATATTTGAAGTGGGTGCGCTTAACCAAACCTCAGCCTTTTAAAGACTTCCTGTGCATCAGTCTGCGAACGTTTGTAATGCGGAATTGTGCTGGTAAGATTTTGTTTCTTTATTGTATGATTTCATGTTACATAGTGCTTTTATTTTTAGGTGGGGGTGCTATCAAAAATCACAAGTCACACAAATTTTGGGCTTAAATCAGAACTCCAGGCATATGGGGGTGGGGGGCAATTTATGTAGTTACATATGTAATAACAAAAATATCTAACTTGGTTTTCACTTCTTGTAATACCCTACACAGTAGAACTCAGACTGGGAGAAGTAGAAACAGCACTAGAAACTCTGCACATGTACCGACCAGCAACATGCTGCAAGGAGGAGAGAGCAAAGTTAGCATAGAGATGGGGGCAGGGCAATAACCTAGCCTTATTGGTAGTGTGTGCACTTATTCAGTTTGCACCTTCAAAGTGATTGGCATGTTGTGTACAACGCATGGTACGATACCACCACCAAACAAATTCCAGGTTATAATGCGAAAAGTTCACGTGACACTGTACATGTACTTGACTAGTATGCCTAGTGTAAACAAAAATTGTATTTCTATATAATTTTTCTTCTTTTTTTTTATGTCACAAACCATTGAAACATAAATTAAACCTAAAACCTTGAGTGTATATAAGTATACTATTCACCCCTCCTAGGGCAATACTTTGTAGAGCCACCATTTGCTGCAATTACGCTGTAAGTCTCTTGGGATATGTCTCTATTGGCTTAGCACTTCTAGCCACTGGGATTTTTGCTCATTCTTAAAGGCAAAACTATCATTTATTTACTTTGTGTTTTTAAGGGCCCACAAACTCATTGAAGTACGTGCCACTGGTGACAGGTTTGGCTTCTGCTCGCAACTTGGAACATTTGGAGTTGGTTAGAGTTCCCTTTCTTGGAGGGCTTATCCAACATGTGGTGGAGGACAGCTGGAGGTCTGGTATGTTAATACTACATTAGCAATTGAACATTTTTTAACAATGCCTGTTTTAAGGTGGATATATTTAAGGTATATGTTCTAAAATATTTGAGGTATACTGCCATAGCGCTATGTTTTAGAAGTAACATTCTGTGACGCTGTTATTATTAATATTTACTGCACGCTGTTTGCATCTCAAGCAATTTGGAAGTATCTCTTCAATCTTTGCTTCGCAAGCTATTATATTTAAAGAGCCTTCAATGCAGCCCTAACTCTTGCAAAAGGTCCTCACAATTATAAACAAAACACTTTTCTTTCTTGTTTTCTTGAAGCTTATTAAAGATCTGTTTTAAAATATAAGGCATATGCATTGAAACAGGCATATAAAGGTGCCCATACACTGCACGATTCTCATACGAGAATCGCGGGAAATCCCGTTCAGCATACTGCCCGTTCATCATTGCAGTCATCGGAAGCCCGCCCCTCAGGGGGGCGGGCTTGCGATGATCGCAGGTACGATCTGCCTGTCCAAGATGGGCAGATCATACTTTTTTTTAAAGTACTTTACAACCCTCGCAAGACAAAAGTCTTGCGAGGGTTGTAGAGTGTATGGGCACCTTAAGACTGGGGTTTGTTTGTCTGCATGTGTTCCTTTTTTTTAGTCCTTTTTTTGTGGCTCTGTTTTGTGAATATTAGGTGTTTAATTAAATGAGGCCTTGTATTGTTCTAGAAGTCGTCATAGCTATGTTTTCTTGCATAATTTTACACTTCTATTTTTTTTCCTGCCCTCGGCCTAAACCACACATACTTAAGGTGCCCTTACACCTTACGATTATCGGACGAAACTTTTCGTCCGATGATCGAACCGTCGTACGATTTTCGTACGACGGCCCCATCCTGCCCCGATTATCGCAGTGTTCAATCAGCGGTAGTTAGAAAAAAACACCTGGGCGACTTGCGGTAATTGACCGCAATTATTTTCGTATGCGCAGTGTTAATCGTACGACATTTGACGGACGGAAACGCCACCAACCATGCGAACATCGTACGATCAACCAAAGTTTTCAAACATGCTTGACCGTCAAAAGTCGTACAATTGTACAGTACTATCGGTCGGGCACTCTATTCACACGTTACGATTGTCGTACGAAAAGTCGATCGCATACGATTATCGTACGATAATCGTAAGGTGTATGGGCACCTTTACACTATACTAGTGGCTGATCTTGTAACTTTGACCAATGTAAGATATATTGTAAAGGTGAGGATATATACATAGGGGTGAATTTATTATAATCTGGAGCAGCTGTGCATGGCATCCAGTCAGCTTCTCTCTTTAGGTGCCCATACACTGCTCGATTTCTCGTACGAGAATCACGGGAAATCCCGCGATCGTACGAGAATCGAGCAGCGTGAATGAAGACGTGCGACCGTTTCTGCTGTACAGTCGCACGTCTTTTGTCTAAGGAGCACGCTAGAAAACCAGCCGCAAATCGTACCATTTTCGGCTGGTTTGAACGGTGCTCGGGAGACAAATGCCGAACGGGCCGGTGTGCGCACGCGCACACTGCCCGTTCAGCATTGCGGCCCTCAGGGGGGCGGGCTTGCGATGATCGAGAGTCCAAGATGAGCAGATCGTACGTTTTTTAAATTCCTTTACAACCATCGCAAGACTGAAGTCTTGCGATGGTTGTAAAGTGTATGGCCACCTTTTCTCTCTTTTTCAAATCTTAACTGAAGAAACTGAAGAGAGAAGCTGATTGCTTGCCATGCACAGCTGCTCCAGCGCCGACTGGAGGAACGGACGGGGAAGGGGCGGGTACAGCTGGCTCTGCCTCTAGATAGGCAGAGCCAGCTGTCAGTCACGCAGCTGGGTGGATCTCGACAGCATTGTCGGTATCCGTAGCTCTCGATATACTGAGCTTTGGTTGGGTTACGGGAGGACGCTAGTATATGTCCTCCCGTGACCCTTAAGAGAACTATGGGGGAAAACACTTCCTCTCCTGTAAGCTCCAGTGATCAGAGGCTTTCTGATATCAAGTATACTGCAGGGCCTATAGCACTGCATTATACACGAGGACACTGAGGGACAATCCAGAAGCCAAGGCTTAGGGGAGACTAGGTGAGCACTGATGGTCGGGGGAGTGGGAATCAGGTAAGTAAAACTTCTGTTTCCTGAACGAGCATTTAGCCCATGCAGTGTGGGGGTAGCCCCCCTAGATAGGTTTTAACTAAAATGTATTGCTGCAACCTCCAGTTTAGGTATTTAGTAATGAGTTCTGATAAGACTAAATATAATTGCACTTCCTAGCTAACCTTTTTCTGCTCTGTGCTGGTCTGTTACAGGAGGGTTTCGGAATTTGCACACAATTGTTTTGGGAGCTTGTAAGAATGCTCTTGAAGTGGACCTTGGCTACCTCATAATAACAGCTGCTAGAAGGTAGGTATATGCTATACAGTAGTTTGTAGCAATCTCTTCCCCATTCGCATTTTCAGCGACTACATTTAGATAAAGCTCAGTTCCATTTAGTATGCGTTTAAAATATGTGCCAAGTGCAAATTATTCTTTGTTTGATGTGTTGTCATTTACTATGAGATTTAATGGATACAGTCCCTGGAATTCAAAAAGAGTATTTTGCCTCATTCAGACAAATATCAGTTAGTGAGACAGATTTATGTACGTATGTCTTAATGATATCTCCTTGCCACACCGTACCGATGTACCCCAGAATCCAATGGGTGTTGGAGCAACTGGTGGATGGCTACACAGTATGCAGTCTAGGAGATATGCTGACTGCACACCATTCTGCTTTTGGAATGTCATCTTTATTTGTATTGCATTAGCATGACATACAGGTACCAGACAGCTACATGTCATTCTACAGGAATACGAATAAAGATGACATTCCAAAGCAGAATGGTGTGCGGACAAGATATTTTGGAGAAATGTATGTACATGTACAGTACATGCCAGAAGTACTCCATAACTTTGGCCTCATTTACTGACGGTTTCTGATCAGATCTGCCAGTATTTCTTAATGAATTTGTCGCAGCCATAACAGCACATTACACATTATTGCAAACAAGAACTAATTGAATTTGTTGCACACATTTCACTATCTCTGAAAGTGTCGCAGGGTTACGTGGATTTGGTGTGAGACTACATATTACAGCAGTACTGCCAGAAATGTATCACTAAAGTGAATTTGTATTGTGTCCTAATAAAGCCATTTTCACCTAGTTTCAAAGTTCTTCATGTACCATAGCGGGTCAAAAGCAGAATCTGTGTTTTGTACCAGCATTGGGCCTGTGGCTTAATTTTTCCTACAAGATGGATGCAACCACATTTGCATTCTTTTTAAGATCTACACAATTCTAAAATTGTTCTAGGACTAACATTTTTGTCAAAGCAAACAGACCTGAGATGCAAGTATGTTTCCAGTGAAACAAATCTATACCGTTGTTGTCTTTGCAGAATAATATAAAAATGTTGTAATAAATTAGAACAAACATTTGAACTTTTTTTTTTTTTTCTGTTAGCTTAGCTTTTTACTGTGGGTGGTAAGCTGTCATTTGTTCAAGGTCTTGGTGCACATCTGAAATGCATTGCTATTCTTTTTGCAGTAATGCTCCCATATTCCAGTTCATGTATTATGTGCTAATGCTATGTATGCTTGCATCAAGGTTACACGAAGTACGCATTCAGCCCTCTCTAACCAAAGACGGAGTGTTTTCTGCACTGAAGATGGCTGAGCTGGAGTTCCCACAATTTGAAACTTTACATCTGGGATACGTTGATGAGTTTTTGCTACAATGTAAGGATCTTGTGTGGCATGTGATATGTCTGACTAACTTTTTTAGATTTTTTTTTTAGATTGCTTGCCTTGTTAATTATTAGAGACTCTTTTTAAAGAAAACTGACTAAACATAAAAGCCTTAAAAATGACTGAACTTATTTGCAAAGGGGGTTTCCCAATTTAACTGGAAATGGCAATACCAGATATTGGCCAGCAGATGTTGCTGTAAGTGAAATCCTGATACCTGCAGAACCTGAAACATTTCAGGTCGGAATCAAAGTGGAATTTTCCTTTTAAGAATACGTATACGCTCATATAGTTATCCTTTAAAGAAGAACTCTGGGCAAAACTTTGATTAACCATCGCAGTGAGGCTACCCCCACACTGCAAGGGTTAAGTGCTCATTATTGTTTAGGTGCTAACAAAAAACAAATTTTGCTCGCTTAAACTTCTGCTTCTTCATTCACTGAAGCCTGTCTCCCCCTACGCTGCACCATTGCAGTGTTCCTCAATATCCTCATGTTCACACACAGTGCATAGAATGTGATGATTTACAGGACCTTAGACTGCAGCTGCAGAGGAGGAGAGACTAAAGCTGGCCATACACCTTACAATTATCTGCAGATTTTCTATTGTCAGATGGAAAAAGTGCAACCGATTCCTCCATCTATGCTAAGCTGTGTGAATGGAGGGATCTCCCACTGGGCCTAGCTTCAGTATCTTGTTAGTCGGCCCACACTGGTTCTCAAAATACCTGAACAATCTGATGGGACGCAGGCATTGTTGGGGTGTTTTGCGAGCCAGCGGGGCCGACTAACAAGATTACAGAAGCTTGGCCCAGGTGGAGATTACTCCATCCACACAGTTAAGTGTAGATGGAGGAATCTGTTGCACCTTTTCCATCTGACCATAGAAAATCTGCAGATAATTGTAAGGTGTATGGCCAGCTTTAGAGCAAGTCAGCTGGGAGGTTCAGGTGAACATTACTTATTACATGTGTTGTTGCTTTTTTTAGCACCTAGACAAAAAACGACTATTTAACCTCTGCAGTACAGCGGTAACCCCACTGCAAGGGTTAATTAAAAATGTTGCCCCTGGGGTGCTTCTTTAAGTTGCCCCCACCACTCCCAAAGTCTTAAGGTGCCCATAGACCTTGCGATTATCGCAGGAAATCCTGCGATTGTACGATAATCGCAAGGTGTGTGGAAGGCGTGCAACCGTTTTTACTGTACGGTCGCACGTCTTTTGTCGAACCAGCATGCTAGAAAACCCGCCGAGAATCGTACGATTCTCAGCTGGTTTCTAGCCTGCTCGTTCGACAACTGCGGAGCGGGGCGGGCTTTCGATGATCGCAAGTACGATCTGCTTGTCCAAGATGGGCAGATCGTACGAGCTTTTAATAAGCTTGCGATGGTCATAAGGTGTATGGGCACCTTTAGTCTCACCTGTCCCTGCTTCTGCCAAATCCAGTTGTGCAGCTGCACAGACTCTGCAAACTCTTGTCCAGTCCATTTGTGCATGCACATTAAAACCCCATTCATGCCTATAGGAAAACCGTGTCAGATGCATGATACACAGCCTTTCCATAGGAATAAATTGAGTTTTTCTACACAGACGCAGGAGAAGTTCGAGACTGTACAGGAAGTTTGCAGCAGTGACTTCCTGTGAACTTTATAGCGTGGATCTGGCAGTAGTGTGGACAGATAAGTATATGTATGTGGAGGAGAGGGGTGACTTCCAAGTGCACTATGAGGAGAATTTATCAAAACTGGAGCAGCTGTGCACGGCAACCAATCAGTTAAGGTTTGAAAATGAAAGAGATGCTGAACAAACTAAAGAGAGAAGCTGATTGGTTGCCGTGTGCAACTGCTCCAGATTTTGTCTGCTCCAGTTTTGATAAATTCCCTCCTGAATATTTCAGTATTAACCCATTCCTAAAAAAACTGTAAAAATGTGTGCTTTAAAACAAGTCATACCTGACATCTCGAGCTACATGTACTGTGAAGTAATTCATGCTCAAAGATCACAACAAAGATTTTATTGTTGTTTGTAACAGCGTAGACACACCTGCCGTGTGTTTACCTTAGAAACCTGGCGGACTGCCAGCGTTCATCATTAGAAGTTGCTGAGATTTCTGTGACTCTTGTGGAAAATAACATGGGTGCAAAAAATGAAAAAAGGGCCTCAGTCATGAAGGGGTTAAAGATTATTTCTCCCAAATGCTTATAGCTGCAGAGGAAAATTAGGGTTTATTGTGAAGAGTTTTTACTGCTGTTGCAGAATATTTAAATACTGTATATTTGTGTGTATAATCTGGGCACAGGTTTAAAGAATAGCTATTTGAAAGTATTGTTATCCTTTTAAAGGAAATTTGAATTGGGCGGTTAGGGTGATGCACTCTTCCTTTTTTTTTTTCTTTTAACTTTATTTGGCGTGTACAAAGTGTATGCTTGCTTCAGGTCTCCTCACAGCAGTGTGGTATGCTGCGTTTCTGTGACCTGTGTTGCCATCCACTGCGCACCACACCGCACATGGGCACATAGGAACAAATTGTTTTCTGTATTGACTGGCATTGTTCAATTGCTGAAAAATGTCAGTTGGTGCTTTTGGTGTGAATGTGCCCTAATTGTAACAGCTTCTTAAGCTCTACTGATTGTCGGGAACATTCCCCAACATTTATAGCCACATGAGTAACTCCGTTAATACAATCGCTGTGGAATGTGCCAAGGCAGATGTTTGTCCTTGGAAAGGAATGTGAAAGTTTGTGAATCCGCCCCATTTTAAATATGTACTGCAATCGCCGTGAAGTCTAGGACGGATTCTAATTGCTCAAATTAAAGGTTAAAGGTTGAAGGTGTGAAATGTTAAATACCCAGGGTAGAGATATTAAACCTACATTATATATGGGTAGCAGGTGGTCTCAGAAGCTCCAGCGCAGTGACTCTTTTGTTATTGTTTTGTGCCAGACTTTTTTCGCAGTTATATTGATTTTGGACAATCTTTAAATTTCTTTACAATTTCACATTGTACGTATTTCCCATGTTTCTTGCCTGGCATCCAATATGGCTTTTTTTGCTTTCAGGTAAGATGACTAATGCTGATCTCATGAAGTATGGCCTGGCAGATGTGGCAGAGAACCCTGGTATTATTACTGACATTGGGATGAAAGCTGTAAATGAAGTCTTCTCCTGCATCAAGTACTTGGTGATCTATAACTGCCCTCACTTGCACAACCCAAAAAACTGGATCACAGGTAATGAAAGCCAACTGATTCGTAACCTTACTGTAGATTATTCATGCTCCCCCTTTTTCTTTTTCTTGACAAAAACTCGAATGCAGATATACAAAACTGGACTAGTTTCAATCATTAAGCAAACAATGTTTATAGTGGTAGACAGACAATTACTCCGGATGAAGGCATTGTTTGCGAACAGACCAACATGTAATATGTGGTCAAAAACAAGGGAAAAGCAAGTAGGAGGGGAATGGATAGGGAAATATCCGGGAGAAGGTCTGAAGGGTAGTAACTTGGATGAAGGAAGGTGGAGGGTCACTGATTGGATAAGGGGGATGGAAGAATGATCAGATATAAAGGGTGGGACAAGGATATTTACATAAAGGTCGTAGATCTACGGGACTCGGGAAGAGGAGTAGTCCAGTCAGGTGGCAATGCTAGGAGGACATACGGTGAATCGTTATGCTCACTTTTTTTTGTGTGCAAACAGATGTATGTTAAATTGCAGTGCAAATATCATGTTCAAACTAGTCAGAAAATGTATACCACATCGCCATGTCAGTGATAACTTTTAAACCCTATTGTAAGATTACGTAGGACATTCACACTGCCTATGCAAAGCTGAATGCAGCCCGGGGTTGAAATTGCACAATACTTTGTCCCTCACTTAAATACTGCCACCTGGGGGCTGTGACATGGACTTCCCAGGAGGCAGTGGATAGCTGATCACTATGTCGTCCTCACCTAGGAAAGGAATCTAAAAGTGGCAGGCCACACTACTTCTTGTTTGTAAAAGAAAACTCCCTTTCTTTTTTTCTTTAGAACTATTTGTGATTGTGTAAGAGGGAGGGAAGCGGAAGCAGATGTGCTTGCTGTGTTAAGTGCTGTGTATACCATTGAAAGTGTTTTGTTATATCTGTTCAATAATTGTAAAACAATAAATCTTGTGAGCTAGTTACGTCTGTGCTTATAACTGCTGCACTGTTATCAGTTACATTGTTCCAAGTGCTCTGTGGACTACAGAGCGCCTCCTCACTATATTATGGAAAAGAGATGAGGGGGAGGTATTGCTCCCCTAGAGTGACGGTGCTGCGCCTATATAGGTACAGTACAGTGATAGTGTTGTCACCTTAGGATGGAAAGTGTGTTACTGGGAGGATCACCAGTTAAAAATAGATGAAAAGAAAACTAATGCAGCCATTACATCTAAAGACTGGTAAGCTGCAATATATTTAATGTTCTGGGTTTAGATACTCTTTAAAAAGATAAATAAATATGTACATTCTGTTTTGATGCAAAGTGACAAAAGAATTAAACTATGTAATAGCAATGGGTGTGAATAGGACCTTGATTATGCACTGCAATCACTACCCATATAGCTGCAGAAGGGAACACTCCGTGAATACACAAAAAGTAAAAAGAAAATTAATGTTGACATGATTGTTGAGAGATGTATATATATATTTCCCCCCCCATAAATAACAATGTCAGTGTTTCTATTTGTACTATGCTTGGTTCTTAATCTGAACTGTACTTCTTTGAAGATCACTCTCGTTGGACCCGGCTGGTTGATCTGAGCCTGGTCCGCTGCCATGCCATAAAGTTGGAATCTTTTAGTCAGTTTGTTGAGCTACTCCCCAGTTTGGAGTTTATCTCGCTGGACCAGATGTTTCGAGAACCTCCCAAGGTGAGCCCTTCTTACAGATGCCTAATCTTTTGGTTTTGCATGCCAGAAGTTTGCTGGAATTAGCAGTGTTCAAAGCAATTTTAGATGAATTCCTTTGCAGCTTATACTACGTTGATCATTTTTTTTTTTTTTACATGTGTTTCTGTCTTTGAAAATCCACTTGGATTGAGAAAAAGGAATTAATTAAAGAATGAATAAACCCTCAGGGTTTGTTGCAAATGTCTACTGCTACCATGCAGTAGATATATGTTAAACAAAATTTTTTTTTTAAAGTGACGAAAAATGTAAAAGCGTACCTGCATCTCCGCACACACCCGCCCAGAGATCTGAAAAATCTTGGGCGGGCGCAACGCAGTACTGATCTTCAGCCGGGAGACGAGGAGAGATGCAAGGTAAGTCAATGCTGGCAGCGTGCACCCGCACAGACTCCGTGGGACACAGAAGACGCAGCAGTCAGAGCTGGATCCGACTGCTGAAAACTATAGGAAAGAAGAAGATGATCGGATCAAGAGGCATCATTTAAGGGTAAGCCCTTACACTGGCATTGGAGGGGGGATATCCTTTTTATTGTCACTTTAATAACCAGTTTTTAATGTATTGTATTTTACCAGGTTGTATAGTTAACAGATGTATATCAGTTCCTAACGTATAGAAATCAGCTGGAAGAATAGAAAGACAGAAACTGGAAGCTACTAAATCAGCCCATTACACCTTGTTAAACAGTACAGTAGTGAACGTCAATGGTGTTTTGCTGAAAAGTAGGTTTTATTGATTTTCCTACATCTCAAACCTTCACTACCTGCCGAATTTTCAGATGAGCACTAAATAATGATGGATAACAACTTTTGGGATCTACTTGAAGGATTCTTAGGGCCCCTGTCGACTGACTTTAGGCTTGTGTTGACAACATTAGTTTGAGACCTTTTTGAGATCAATTCAAATTCATTGACAGGTGCATTTGACCTGCAGTTGACCACCTCTAGAAGTCTATGGAATTTGCATTCTTATAGACTTGGAAAAAAATATTTGAAGCAAACAAAAGTTGGTCGGTCACATAGTGTCTGCGACTTTCTTGGTGATTCCTACATACATCATTCTATCACACAGTTAACAATGTAGGTGCTTTTGTGGCTGTGGAGAGAGTGAAACAGAAGCTTTGCCTTTTTTAATGCCCAAATTGTTGCAAGATCTAGTGATTTTAATAATGGAATTTCTTGTAAACTGTCATAAAATGTAATGGTTACACAACCATATCTTTTTCTTTTAAGGGCTGTGCCCGTGTGGGTCTTAGTGCAGGCACTGGAATTGGTGTGTCTTCTGCCTTGGTAAGCAATCAGAACTCTAACAATGAGAATGAAAACAATAACAACCACCAGAACAACAACAACAACCTGCAGCATAACAATAACCAACAACCACCACACATACCACCACCACCACAGCAAGAGGAAGGAAATGATGAGCCAGACCTCAGACCAGAGAACAACGTGGAAGAACAGCATATTGCTGCTGAGGGTGAGCTTTACATGCAATCTGTTAGAAGACCAAAATGTATTCCATGTGAAACAATGGATGTGTGATCTGCCCTATATAGTAATTTGACAACTTCTGCTGTATTTCTTTCTTTTGTTCACGGTAAATTAATATTTTTCAGTGTATTTTATATTTCCAAACCATAGAATGTAAAGTACATTTTGTAGTAAACTTTAAATATTGGCTTTCAGTCACTACATTTTTCATTTCACTTTAAATGCGTTTCCCTAAAATCCACAGCTCTAAATGACATGGAAGATGTGTCACAAGATGAATTAAGACTTCCAGAGCAAGAAAATGAAGTTGCAGCTCCAAATCTGGCTGATATACCTTTGGATGAGGAACGAGCAGGTCTGTTCTGCTTGATTTCTTTTTTGTAGAAAATTTATTTTCTGTTGATAAATAACATCATGTAGCAATTTAGTCAAGTATAGAATTAGTTCAGGAACTTTTTTTACACGCGGGATATTTTTAAATCCGTTCTTAAAGTTATGGTCTAACCAAAGCCATTTAATACTGTGGGTGGCTGTACATGGCAGGTGTGGTACCCACAATATAAAGTCCATATACCTTGTTGCACTCCTTACCAGTCTGTCCCAATGATAATAGGTACTTGCAATGACTGCGGATAGCGCCGCTCCCGATACAACAGTAGATAGATGTCACCAGCACTCCAATCCAGAGCGTCTCACATTAGTCTAAATCCATTTTATTGACAAAAGTCATAAAGACCAGCGCTTTCGGGGCCGCGCAGGGTCCATTTCATCAGGCTCAATAGTGTTCACTATTTCATCAGGCTCAATAGTGTTCACTATTGAGCCTGATGAAGGGGACCCTGCGCAGCCCCGAAAGCGCTGGTCTTTATGACTTTTGTCAATAAAATGGATTTACACTAATGTGAGACTCTCTGGATTGGAGTGCTGGTGACATCTTTCTATCTACAGGTGTGGTACCCAGGCACGGAAATACGCCCACAATTTGTGTAATACGGTCCCAAGTACCTGTGGTCATGAGGCCAAAAGCTGGCTCAAATTACTTTAGTGTCTATGAGGTAATCTTTGAGGATTTTTAAGAACATATTACTTAACATTACAGGCAGCTAGAGAGATCAGGGTTAGCTTGTTAATTACTCTTCTTTTTTCTTTTTCTTTTTATTGCTTGCTCAGAATATGTAAGCTCTATAGTTAATTTAGTTATTTAGTTAGCTTCACTTTAATGGCTCTCCAAAATGTAATCATGTGAGAATATAAATATAGGAGCTGCTATTCCTAACTTTTTTTTTCAGAGGTTCAAGCCACATAGCTGTCATCCTGATCCCTATTTTAATATCTATACAGTCACTGAGCTGTATCAAGCATACATGGTCGCAGTTCAGATTTAAGAGATTCACTGGCTACGTTCTTGATGCACCCTAAAGACTCATTAGGTAGCGAAGCCAGGATCAGGATAACAACCCCAGAGTCTGCACCTTTTAAGCCTAGCTTACGTATCCATCAAAATCGGGCAGTAGAGAAGTATTTTTAAAAATTCAGTGCAATACATGTGTGTACTAGCGCTGTGTCTTGGTGCGGTAAGAAATTGTAAAAAGTGGAGTGCATGTCTCATCCAGGAGGCATTGCCACTTGGCAACCACCTCCATTCATGTCTATAAAAGTGGGCCACAACAGCTTTTATAGCGGTTTACTGTGTGTTTGAGGGGCATTGCTAATGCATTTTTCAGGTGATGGGGGAGAGGTTCTGAAATCTCAGAAAGCACTGGGAAATGATAGACTGGGGGAAAGAACATCTCCTGTTTCCACTTCCTGTTTGCACACCACCAGCTTTGCCAATTAGAAAGTGTCACTTCTCCTTTTGTACATCCCTTCCCCTTTGTACACCACTTCCCTTTTTTACAGTACTTCCCCTTTAAGAACAAAAAGCAACACTTGCTGGGGAAGCTTTTTCAATGCTTGTTTAATGCTTCTTAAAGGCATGCCAAACGTGCGTTAACGCTATAAACCGCGTTCCTTTTTTCTATTCTCAACGCGTGTGTGAACGAGCCCTTAAAAACAAGCTAGCTACAAGAGCTCCTATGTTTTCCTTGCATGTTCACTCTTCTATAGAAATACTCAGTTATGAGCATTACCTCAAGTCCTGGCTCTAGTGGGAGTTTCCTGCTGAGAGGTGAGGTGAAAAAAAAAAGTATGGTAAAAAAAGCATGCTTGTGCTACCAGATCACAAAGGTATATAGTTTGTTTTTCTTTTTCTTTTTTTAGGACCCAGTGGGTTACAGCCAGTTGGGAAAGCTGCACCAATCACAGTCCATGACTCTGACAGCGAAGATGATGATGACATTGTTGGTAGTCGCAGTGAGTGTGGAACCTCAGTTAACTACCCTCAGGAGGACAGCAAAGGTGAACAGTTGGCAGAATCTCGGGACAGCACAATAAGTGAGTGAATGTGCTCATCTATTGCTTGTAAATCCCAGTCCAGTTAGTAATGTTGCACTTTGTCTATGGAAGCAACTATAGCTTTTAAAATTCATTGGTCGGGGTTGGAATTATATTCATAGTTGTAGCATAAAGTATCTCTTTCCGCACTTAATAATGATAAATTCATTTTTTTTTTTTCATCCATTGAGATACACAGGAAGTCTTAAACCTTTGGGTTTTGCTGCCACCCAAAGGAGGAATGAAAACTGGCAAACAAAAAAAACTGTAGATCAGTACAGGATAAGCCCTCCTACTACCGGCATGTTTGTTTCCTAGGAGGATGAAAGTCGTCACTCAGCTCTGCTGTGTTAAAAACAAACCTATTTTTTTCAGGCATGTTTTTCTTTAATCAAAACTCTTTTTTTTTTATTCATCACTGCTAGAGCTTGTCTTTTCACTTACAGTAATCTGGCATGGTTGTCCTCAGCCTGGCTTTTGAAATGCCACGTCTGGACCTTACTGGACTGGACACTGCAGGGATAGCTTGAAAGTAACCTTTTGGGCACTGGGTTACTGGTGAAGCACTTTCTAGACTTTCTTCCTTTAGCTGCTAAGTGCTTTCCAGGTCCAGAGCCACTGACATTGCTTCAGAGCTTGCCCTGTCCCCGATTACTGACTTTGCGAGTAGTAGGTAGCACCAAGTACTAGGAGCTGCCTAATTTACCTACCCTGGGTAAATTCCCTGTTTCTTGCCAGTTTCCATTGCAGAAGGGGTTAACTCGGTGAGACTGAGCAGTGACATCATCCACTGGCTGACGTTTGTCATGCCATGAAGCATGGAAGAAGCATCTCCTGGCTGCTGCTCCTGCTTTCAGAGAGCAACATGGAACTTTGATCTTCGATCCATTCCTGCTGCTCGCCTACAGTAACTTTTGTCACCTGCAGTCATTTGACCTTTACTGTTTCTTTATTTTTATCACTTTGTATTCAATTATTTCTTCTTATTTTTTTTATTTAATTTGTTTTATCAATTTAATTTTTTTTAGATTTTTGTTTCTTTTTACTTTTTTGTAATTTACTTTTTTATAGTTTTTACCTTATTTTTTTATTATAATTATTCTTATTTTTGACTTTTTAATCACCTTTTTATTTTTTTAAATCAGTCATTTTTTTTCCCATCTAACTTTATTGCTATCACACAGGAGATAACAAGCTCCTGTGTGATAGCAAGGTAGACGGCCGCAACTCCTCCCCCCAGCAGTCAGATACTTCCTCCGGCGTCCTGTTAATGTGGATTGACGCCGGAGGAAGTATCTGACAGCTGGGGGGAGGACACTCCCACTCCCACTCCCACTCCCCTGACAGTTCCTGGGCTGCTTGCAACACACCTACTGATGGGTGCTGAAGTCTGAAGCTTGTATTATAAGTTGCTTCTGCTTTAAGTTGCAGGTCTAATCAGGTGCATGGACAGCCAAATGTTGGGCCATCCTGCTGAAAGGTCATCTGATCCGGATTAATTCATGCAAAGTCAGGAGGGTGGCATACATCAATCATTAGGGAGGATTCAGAGAGGTAGCTTGGATCCTGTCCTGGACAGAACTTCACATTCTAGCCTGGTCCGCCATATACATCCCAGGAGTAAACAACTGCCAGACCGAATTCCTCAGCCAGCAGCGCCTGGACCCAGGCAAGTGGTCCCTATAACTGAAGGTGTTGCAGGTGTGAGAGACTGGATGTGGAACTCCTGGCCTCCAGGTTCAGCAACAAAATGGACAGGTGTTTCTCCAAGTACAGGGACCCCTTAGCAGAAGCAGTGGATCCTCTGGTGGCTCCATGGGATCAATGCACCCTGATCTATGTCTTTTCTTTCCATCTTCCTTGTCTGCTACCTAAAATCAAGATCAAGCAATATCATAAAAAAGATCATACCATGCCCTACCTTTTCTTAAAGCACCATTGTAATAAGCCTAGCCAAATTGGTTTTTAGGTAAAGTCGGTCCATGCTAACTTACTTGAGAATGAGCGTTTTAAACACTGAGTGGGTGAGAAACGTTTTGGATTTTACTATGAGCATGCCCATCTCCATATGCTCTAAACAAAGAATTGGAAACCCTTTCTCTGTTGTGTTGTACACAGCCTCAGTATCTTGTTGTTGCACACTGGTGTTACATAGTAGCTCAGCAGTGGGGCGTTTTGTAGCCATTTAATGAGTAACATTTATTTTATTATTTTATTTCTTTTAGCTTTCATTCAGTTTTTACTAGTGCTTTAAGATGTAGCTTTGCTTTTAGACACCCTGTGGTTGATAAGTGCAATTACTTTCCATTCATTTTTATGTATGGATTATTTTAAGCTTGGCATACAGGGTACAAATTTCTGATAAACCGTCTGAAATTCGTACAGTGGGTGCCTCTTGTCGAGACCCTTCTGCCCGACATCCCTTGATCAGCTGATAGAAGGAGCTGGTTGGAAAGTTCTCACCAAATGGAGCTAGCAGCCAACAACCTGCTAGGCCCATTTAGTTATTCTGACAGGCTGCCGGCTGCTGTGAGAATACAATCCAAACAGTGGGGTATTCCTCCATCAATGCTCGTCAGCGTTGATGGAGGAATCTGTCATACGTTTTTAGTTCAGCCCTTAGGTTGAATGAAGAAAAAATATGCCTGACTACTCTATTTATTATTGCAGCACCTTCTTTATGCTAACCTTGTCTTATCCCTTTGTTCACATGATTTTTTTTATGATATACACATTTTAATGTTTTTATTTATTTTTAAAAGTTTACATTTAGATATTCCATATATAATTATTATTCATGATTTTATATAAAGTTGTTCACAAATGTCTTTCACTTGATTGTAATTGGCGCTGGCATTAGGAGGGCATTCTTTCTATTTATTTTTTTTTGCTAGATGTTTTTCCAGCTATTTGTCTACACTCGGCTGGCTCCTATGTGGAGAGGCTGATTCCTCTTTTGTCATTCCAGATGGTACCAATAAGGGTACACTGGCTTCTCGTTCCACCATCACTATGTTGCTCACACAGACCATCACCCAAGCTTATAATCCCAAGTATCGGACTCCACCCTTTCCAGTCAAGACGCACTTTACTAGATCTGTAAGTGCTTCTTGGGCTTTTTTGGCATCATGGCTGCAACCTGTTCTACCAGTTGGATGCTTCTACCTCATCTGGTGCCAGCTTTGGATGTAAGGTTCTTTAAGCAGCTCTTGAACCTACTAAACTGCAGTTGTCCTAGTTCTGTTGTTCTTTCTTGGGCCTGTCAGCATTTGTTTGCTGTATTGCCCACCCCTCAGTTGGACTGCTTTTGGAAGTCCCAACAGTTAAAGACTTCCTGTGTCCCTCAGTGGGCGAGAGATGAAATAGGATTTTTGTACTCGCCATAAAATCCTTTCCTTGCTCTGTGCATTGCTTTGCTACAAAACGGAGGCATTCTGGTAGTAGAATGGGTTTTTGTTTGTAGGAGGCAGAATAACTCAAAGGATGAAGTCTTCCTATGTCCCTCAGTGTACCCCAAGGAAGGTATTTTATGGTGGGTTTAATCCTAGAGAAATAGATGCTGCGATTGCTGACCTTATTCTGCAAATACTAGTTGCCTGGCTGCCAGAGGAATCTGTAGGACAACCATTCAATTAGCATTTTCAGAGATTCGGCAATGGCGTCTCCTACGTGACGAGCTCCAGTAGGTACAAAAACCCTGTTTCTGATCACTTCTCTGAATCGGCTATCCTCAGTCACTGAACTCTTGTGAATGGTTTGCTTAATGTTCAATGAATATAAGCAGAAAGGCAGAGGGATGGTCAGCACTGGAGTATTTTGCACTAACTGGAGCTGGTCATGTTAATGGCTGTGCAGTCCGTATATTTCCTCTAAAGCAGGGGTAGGGAACCTCCGGCCCTCCAGCTGTGGTGAAACTACAAATCCCATGAGGGATCTGTCTCTGGGAGTTATGCCTGTAGCTGTGAGAATCTTGCGATCCCTCATGGGGATTGTAGTTTAACCACAGCTGGAGGGCCAGAGGTTCCTCGCCCCTGCTTTAAATCATGTATTAAGGAAACTATGCAGGCAGCCATTGTATGTAACCAGCGAAGGCAATACTTCTGTTTAGCATACTTGCTCCTGGCCAGGGACTGAAAGTTATGAAGCCATTGTTTCAGCATAAAAACAATGGGAGCTCAGCAATGGCAGTCTAGTACAGGTTTTCTTTACAGAGTATCTCCTAGTTAAGTGTTTGTTTGTTTTTTGTACAAAATAGATGTTGGATAGAATAGATGTTGGATCCTCTCAAGTTGCCGTCTGTGTCCCCATTAGGACCTCTCTTTGTATTGTTAACCTTGCAGAAATGGAAATTCAGGGGAAATCCAACATTTTAGACTTCTCACCAGCATAAGAGGTGAGGGGAAATCTGTGGTGGGGACAACTGTCTATAGGTAAATTTCCTCTATCTCCCTGTTGCATCTCTGGGACAGGAAGTAAGGGAAGTGGGGAAAATGACACACTGACAGCAATGTTGACGGGACTGGGTTTGAACCCTTTCCTGCTCTATCCAGAATGAACAAAAGATGTTTTGGCTATACATACCGCCTATAATATGGCTGTGATAGTGTAAATAAGTCATAATCTTTACTGTGGTTTTTACTCTGTACCCATTTTCTTTGTAGCTGTAAGCGGGAAAGGCAAAGCACCTTTGCGTAAGAAGTGTAGCGTTGTAGCCAAGAGTCCAACAGAGCAGACCACGCCAAGTGAAGAGAGTAGCTGTGAAAAAGGTTGTCAGGTAACTAGTGAACAGATCAAGGCAGATATGAAAGCAGCCAGTGATCCATCTGACCGGAACAAAAGCAAAGATGGTTGTGGTGAGGTGGGCACAGCTGGAGGAGTCATAAACGCTTGTGAATCTGTTCCACAACATATGGACAACAATGATCACTCTGTGAATGAAAGTTCTGACCGTTCTGCAGAATCTGATTTTTGTACATGCAATAGGACTGAGGATGGTGAACCCAGTGCTGCTGCAGGACAAGCACCTAGTACACGCTGTCCCCATTGTTCTAAACTTATGAACCTGGAACAGACAATGCAAAGGGGGAATAGCGGGGGTGGAGAAGGGCCTCAGCCCTCCACTAGTCGGTCTTTTCCAGGGAATGGCTCAGAGTACACACTCAGGACTCCACAAAGTGAACCACAAAGGACTAATGCAGAAACAGATCCAGCTGCTTCCCCAACCTTATGCCGGACAGAACAGCGTGAACAGAATCCACAGAGGCCTCTCACAAGGGCAAGATCTCGGCTCTCTCAGGTGTCACTGGTGTCTGATGGTGGTGAGTGTCTTTACTGCTTCTCTTTTACATTTTTTTTTTTTAACCTTTTTGGCCCATTTTCTTATTGAAATTAGTAAGCCGTTTGTTACCTTTTTAGAACATAATATTTTTTTTTGTTTAATATTTTGGTTTTAAGAAACAACACCAAAAAACAGAAAATCTGTGAAGAGGAAACGCACTGCAGATAAGTCCACAAGCACCAGTGATCCTGTCATTGAGGATGACCATGTACAGGTACAGTGGGTGTGGGTGTGTTTTGGTAAAGCCTTCCTGTATCTCAACATACATGTTTTGTCTGTTCTGTATTTATCATATAATGTGTAGATAAATGTGGAATGGTTATGTATGGCCATATATTGACAGTTGTGGTCACAGTGAGTTTATGGAGCTAATTTAAAGGGATATGCGTATTTATTAAGTTCAGGAATGTGCTTTACAAATGTGTTCTGCCTGCTTTGGGACTCGGAAGTCATCAGAGCACAACAGAACTGAATAAAAAGTTATGTGGAAAAAAAAGCTGGGAGAAGAACCCGGTCATTTGGCCTGTCAAAGTTACATGGCCGACTATCCTCCAGTCACAGAGCTCTCTTCTCCATTAAGCAGAATTTCATGGGACTTGCTTGCTGCACTTTGCAGCCTGATTTTAATAAATAGGTGTGTGTGTGTGTGTGTGTGTGTGTGGTGAAGTGGAGTATAAGAGAGTGCAGATAGCAATATCTGCTCTCCATTTTAACAGAGCCCCTAAGACCTAGTGACTTTGGCTTCAAGCTGGCTTTGCTTCATGTCATTGAACACCATGGAAATAACCAATAGTGTTTACTGAATCACTTCTCTCCTGAAGTTTTTAAAAGACCATTGGGAAGGATGAAGAAAGTCCCATTCGTAAACTCCTTTTCAGGAAGGGCCTTAATGCAGAGATTGAACATACAGTATTTCATATGTTGAAGATACACTCCAGTTGAAAATGAAACTTGGGGCTCACTAATATAATTTGCAGGATTGGCCTAAGCTGCCCCTGTCTAATGCAGGCAGAATCAACTTTATTAAAATTATCCTTTTGCTGAAACTGATGTATACACTTACGCATATGCTTTTGACACTACCAAAATCCTTTTTCAAGGAATACATCTCTATTCTGATTCTTTATATAGGGTACAAGTAGACCTATATTAAAACTGGCCACGCTACAAAGGCCTAAAGAGGAAGCCGGTATGGTCCTGCTAGATATGCTTTATATTAAAGTAGTATTAAACAGTCAAACTTTTTTTCAATAATAAAACCAATTCAAACAAATATACATTCCCCTGCAAAGCATTGATTTACCGCTTTGCTAAAATACTTACAATCATCATGTTTCTGAACAGCTGCTTCCAAATCTTTCAGCTCGGCTTCCCTGAACTTCCTGTCCAGTATAAGATCACAAAGGACAGAGCAGACTCCAGGAACTGTTCATCTACTAGCTTGGAGGAGGGAGAAGAGGGGACCAGGGGAGAGGGAAGTAGCTTGGTTTGCTGTGTGTGTTTGTGGAGACACAGACAGCTTACTAGCGCACACACAAGGGAGAATGCATAGCACTCTAAAACAGGAAGTCAGGAGCAGTGCTCAGATGACAAGCTGATTCTGCAGGAAATTTTACACATCAAGGAGCAGCATTGATTGTAAGTGATTTCCATCAGCATTTGAAATAGCTTGACCACTTGAAGACCGGGGTGTTTCACCCCCTTCCTGGCCAGGCCATTTTTAAGTATTCATCGCTGCGGTACTTTGACTGACGTTTATTCCGTCATGCTACTTCCGTCCGGCCGTTCACAAACGGCCATGGACGGAAGGTGGTTAAAATCCTTTTGACTTTTATATCATTTTAATTAGGAAGACAGCTAAACATAACATGCATTATTTGGGTCTTCCCTGTAGTTCTTCATAACTTCAAAGCACACCTGGCACATGTTCTTGGGACCAAACATTTGTTTTGTGACACCACCTACCCATACTGAAAGTGGCGATTCCAGATGCTGCATTATTGAAATCGCATGGGATTTTAACTCTTGCAGACATTTTGCCGGAGAAAACAATGGACTCATTCATGCAATTAGAGCAAAAGACTTGGTTTACTTTGTAATGTTGTCTCTAGATACCTAGAATTGCACCATGGATTGGAATCACAATGCAGGGACCAGGATAAACCTCTGAATACCCACTAAATAAGAGTCCTAAAGTTGTAAGGTCACAAAGGGTTAATATCTCTCTAGCCCAACTGCTTCACACTAAGCTGGGTATAATCTCACTGGCTACTAAGACTACATGGAAGAGCCTGCTACCTACTATGTTTACAGAGGAATGGGATAATACATGCTCCTTTTCATATGTTGGTCTCACCAGTGGTTAATTTATATAGTAATTAAAATCCCAGGCAGATTGTTTGCATCTTATTTGGGGTTGTTAAATTATATATGACCTTATGGCAGAAAGTGGTTACTGTGCTCACCACCTTACTGCAACTTTCTCTTCCCTGTACCACCGAACCTTTGTTTATTTGGTATACTAAACAAAGAATATTAGCCACACTATTCTAGAATATTCTTGGGAGAAGCTGTGTTTATAGCTCTCAAAGCCATAGCTATTAAATGGATGAGTCCATCCTCCCATACCGTAGCCCAGTGAAAATCATATTTCTGGGGCAGGTCTGGCTATGCGTGCTTATGTTCAGCTGGGGACAGGAAGTCTGTACAAATCATTGACTTCTGTATAGCTGTTTGAGTTCAATAAACTACCTAAAGGTACCTTCAAATACCTGCAGCGGCCTCCATTGCCCCATCTGGGCCATTCTGAACAGGCAAAGCTTCAACATGCCGTGTAGTGTTGCTGCATGTCTGCTCACCCCCACCCAAAATTCTTATGGGCCTGCCTTACTGGCCAGTGGGAATTGCTTTGGGAGGTGGAAGGGGTGGGCAAGCTTCATCACAAGAAGCAAGGTTGCAAAGATCAAAATGGTCCAGCATTTGCCATTTGGACATACAGAATGCAATTAAAGCTGCTGGTCTCTCTTTCTCCTAAGTACTTGCACTTATGGTGTGAGTACATTTTTGACTCCTTTTACCTTTGTCCCCCATCCAGGTTTTGAACCTTAAATCCAAGAATCTTGTGGGTATTACACTAACTAACTGTGGCATTACAGACTTGGTTCTTAAGGACTGTCCCAAAATGATGTTCATTCATGGTGAGTGGTGTGTCTGTCTGGTTTTTGTCCCTTCTGTGATTTTTCTATTTTTTTTGTCCCCAGTAGCCCAGTAGATAACTTTAGTTGTTCTGAGTAGTTGGATGGGATACCAAGGAGAAGAGAACAAATCTGATATAGTAACAGTTTTCTTGATATAGAGTTACACAGTATTTGAGGTATTCAAAGGTCCATCAATACACCTATTGTGTGTATGTATGTGAATCTGCAGGTGTTTGCGTGTGTATGAGTCCATGTGTGATCTTGTTCTTAGAGTACCTGTACCCCTGTATATTATGGTCTCTAAGGAAATCGTCCAAAAGCTTTTTGAACGATTCAACACTTTTAGCTGAAATCACTGCATCCTGCAGCGAGTTACAGACCCTAACCGCTCTGAGAAGAAGCCCCTTCGCCCCTTGTGTTGAAATTTTTTCTCCACCAAGTTTAGGTGTTGGCCTCTAGTCTTTGTTATGGGGTTAACCGTGAAGAGTTTGTTGCTGATGTTACTATCACCATTGAACATCTTGTACGTGAAAATCATGCCCCCCCTTAATCTCCTTACTTACAACGTGAACATATTTAAATTTAGTAGCCTTGTCTCATAGCTCTGGTCCTCCATTCCCCTAATTAGTTTGGTTGCCCTCCGCTGGACTCTTTCCAGCTCAAGGACATCCTTTCTGTGGATTGGGGACCAAAACTGGACCGCATACTCCAGATGTGGCCGAACCAGTGATCTGTTAAGTGGCAAAGTTATAGATTTGTCTCTGCAGTACATCCCCTTCTTAATACAAGACAGGACTCTACTTGCTTTGTTTACAGCAGCTTGGCACTCCAAGCTATTAGATATAGATGTCTAATAGCTGCAAGATGTGAACGTAGAGAGGAAAGAGAAATATCTGCTTGTTAGTGTATTTAAACACAAAAAGCAAAATGTTATATATTGCAGCTAAGCAATCCTTAAATGTGATTGCTGCATTAGTTTTATTTTTACCTGATAATCCTGCCAGCAACACACTTCCTGTCCTTGGATGGCGAAACTTACTCTTCTGCTGTATCAGGACAGCAGAAACACAACCTGACTGCAGTATTATGCTATTGTCCATAACATTTAGGGATGTGATTCTGTAGTTCTCAGATCAATGTAATTGCTAACAGTCAGCATAGGAAGTTATCTCAAAAGGCAGGATCAACCGGTATTTATTTTAACTTCTCAGAAAGAATTAACAAAACACCTTTCAATGGAATAATTTAACAGGGCAAAAGGGACCAATAAAAGAAGTTTATTGTTGGGATTTACATACGCTTTCATGGTAAATGTGTTCACATTTTAGTTTATACCTGCATGGAACTTGACATGGTACATTTCACATAAATCTGAACATTGTGCATTTAAACTTAATGGGGGAATATGACTGACCTGTTGTATATGTTGTTGACCAACTGACATTTCTTGATGCTTGCAAGCACTGTTTAATAAATAGAGAACCCCTTTGAATCATTTTTTATTTCTTTTAAAGCAACTCGATGTCGTGTATTAAAGCACTTAAAGGTTGAAAATGCTTCCATTGTGAATCGCTTTGACTATGCACAATGCAAAAAGCTTAATATGGAACAGGTATTGGACCAGATTCTCAGAATGCCTCCTGAGAGAAATCGTATAATCTACTTACGTCCCATGCAGCAAGTAAGTAACTACAGTTATTCCCCAGACACTCATTATTCAGCATCTACTGAACTGCATAACCAGAAATTATTTCTTTAAAGGAGAAGTGTGGGGAGAGTAAAACATACTTGCACCGTCGCATCCCGGTTTAATATACCGACAGCTGAGTGATCATTTAACCTTTGATCGCTCAGCCCATTGTCTTCCCCCTGCAGAGAGCAATGGCTGTCAGTCATCGTTCCCATCAGGGATTCCCCTCTCTCTTTTCTCTAGCTCTCCCACTCACTGGAGGGACAAATAGCGCAGGGGGCGGGCACAGCTGGCTCTAGAGCGATTCCAACAATATTCTCGGGATCCTTCCTGGTTGCTTCACAGCTCTGCACTGGCTATCTGCTGACTTTGAGTCACAGGAGTACATTAGTAAATGTATTCTGGTAGATGCATTTGGTTATATATGTAAAGATTGTATCTTATTTTTTATTTTAAGTCTCTATTTTTCTCCATTTCATTGCAGCACAGGCTGTCGAAAAAAGTGACAGGGTTTGGACAATATATCAAACACACACTACTAGGGGAGCTTGAGCAGTTGTAGCCACTTTATTTTGTATTTTTTATTAACTATAATAGATTTGGATCAATGTTATCCATTTGAAGTTTATACATTCCAATGTTTAGATCAGTTTTCATATATCATATGTATATATTTATGGCAGGGTTCCGCAAATGGCGGACTTCAGTCTGGACACCGAGCAGCTGTTCCATCCGGACCGCGGCCGCCAATGAACCCGGTGTCGTCCTGTGTAGTCATTAGTTGCTAGAACCATGGCGTTTCTAGCAACCAATGACATCTGTGTTCACCACTGAGCGCTGAAGGGCGACGGAAGATACTCTTCAGCTGCCCGTAGCCAGCTCTGCCTCCTGGCCTCTGGGACCCTTCCACTTTCACCTCCCAGACTTGTGGCCCCTCCCAGCTCCACCCCCTGGCTGTGCCTCCCGACTCCACCATATATGCATGTTTCATACAACACTGGCACATGATCCCGAACACATTACGGCGATATGCAGGTATGGGGACATGAATAATGCAATAAAATGAAGTATGTAATGTGTTATCATTGTGGTACAGAACCAGCAACAGGAGGAATCTTTGTATATAGCTATTCTTTTGGAGAAACAGGACATTAATTTAAAATGCTTTTGATGGGATTAAGATGAAATTCTGAAGTCGGGGGTAGAGCTGTGGCTTCTTACTTCAGTCTAATGTTTTTTTTACTGTATATAAAACCCCCATCCGAGTGCCCCAAATACACTTGTTGCCCCCTTTAGAATGCCCTCTTGCGCACTTAATGTAAGGGGGCACTCAGAAGGACTCATGTGTTGGCTGAAGTCATATGTTTGTACTTGCTTAGCAACAGAGAACATGTATGACCTTTTACTGCTTTTACCTGCATGCAAATAAATGGAGAGATGAAACCCCCAGCCTATCTCTGAAAGTTGGTTTGTGTAAATAGAATTGAAAAAGTTTTATTCAGTGACAAAATCTGTTCTGTAAATGATTTTAACCATTTATAGAATAAAGGTAGCACAGTATTTGCTGGAAGGCCTGCAGTATAAATGCACAATCAATACAATCTAAATAGGCCGTAATGTGTGTACAGTTGACAAATGTAGTATTTGTTTTCTTAGCACTGTGTCAATGGTGTTGGCTTAAAATAAACTGCAAAGAAAAATCAGCCCTGATCATTCAAACTGAACATGATCTACAAAATGCGAACCAGTCAGTAGACCACTGGTTTGTATGAAACAAAATCATATGAAGCCATTTATTAGGGAATAAACATGAATCCATGTAGGACCCATACCAGTTTGTTTTCAAATGAAATCTATAATAACTTTATTTTATAAGTCCATTTTCCATTTATAAATCTAATTCTTTCCAAACAGGTAGATACTTTGACGTTGGAGAAACAGATATTTAGTGGTCCATATCCTTACCACATCTGTATCATACATGAATTTAGCAATCCACCTAATGTAAGAAATAAAGTCCGTGTGCGAAGCTGGATGGACACCATAGCAAACATCAATCAGTAAGTATTTACACAATGTCTGCCCTCTTGCTTCCTTCAGATGTGGGGATGGCAGCGTAGCGCCTTTACCAAAGCAACAGGATTTAACTTAGTTTAAAAATTTGATCTGCAGCAACTATTTTTGGTAAAATCAAATCCTTTTTTTTCTGATTTTAAAACTTTCGTTTTTCCATCAAAGCGTCAAACTATTACACATCACTTTTCCTGCTACAGACATTCTCTGCCTTTTCCCATCCTCTCTGCTTTGATTTGTAATCTCTCCTTGATCTCTTTTCCACAGAGAGCTCATTAAATACGAATTCTTTCCTGAGGCCACTCGGACAGAAGACGAAGTTAAGAAATATACAAAGTATCCTTGGGGCCGGGACATATACACTCTGGAAGGTATTTATCTTCCTACCACCAACCAGTGGGGAGTGCGTAAGTAGAGTAGAGACCCTGTCCCCTGCTTCCTGTTTCTTTTATGGTCTGTTTTCTGTCAGTGCAGCCTAAACTTTTTTTTCTAGTTGAAGATAAAGTAGGGAAGGTTTAGCTTTCACATCGTGGTTTTTATTGTTGACACTGGTGATATAAAGTGATGGTAAATCTGCAAACAAGACGGTTTTGATAAATGCTCCCCAGTGTATTTTCAGTGATCACATATTTTGATTCATTACTGCAAAGGTTGCTTTAAATACATTTTAATGTGATTTTCCGTTTTTTATAATTGTGCCATTTTTTTAATTACTCGATTTACATATGTGTGCTTATAGATCCTCCCACTAGTGCCGAACTGTAACAAGGTTTAATGGTGTCAACTCTGTCAACACAAGTGGATATTTTCCCAAAAGTCTACCATGATAAAACATCACATAAAATGCATTTTAAATATACCTCTACCTCAAAGGAAACCTGTCTTGTAAGAAACATAAACTAGAAACATTGCTTTTTAATAAAATACATTTTATATTGCTGTAACTGGGAATTTGTATTCTTCCTCCAGGCATTGTTGATGGTGCTCCATACTCCATGATCACAGATTTCCCATGGCTGCGATCGCTAAGAACTGCTGAACCAAACAGCTATGCAAGATATGACTTTGAGGATGATGAAAAAAGTAAGCTAATGGTATTAGGCTTAGACTAGACTTGTAAAAGGTGCAAGTACACTGGTCACCCTGGACCTGGTCAGCCAACCAACAGCCATTCAGTATTTAGTTATTGGAAGTTATGAATGAAAAATCCGCTCTCATTACTAACAATATTTGTAGGGCTGGTAATGATTAAAAAAAATTTCGATTAATCGAACAGGAAATTTTTAATCGATCAATTCATTTTGATTAATTATAACGCACATACACATCCAACTACATTTATCAAAATAATTTTGATCGATCAAAAAAATTAACCATTAATCGAGGGATTAATCGTTAATTTCCACAGCCCTATTTATTAGTGTTTGCTGTTCTTCGATAAGACAAGCAAATGTAGGTTTAACCATGCACATGGTTATCAAAATGTAATAAAAACTGTCTGTCCGAGTGACTTTAGTAGGCTGCTATCTCCCACTTTCTGAGGTTCCTTTTCAAAGTTGCACTTGTTGAGTAAGTTGAAATTTACACCAGGCTATTCCTGTTCCCCTTGTCCCCCACAAGACTGTATTTAAGCCTATCTAATCCAACCCCAGCTTGTGTGAGGTTGGGGGGTGAAAGATATGGGTATGACTTCCTACAAGCCAAATCCTTCTCCACACCGGTCATTGCAAATGGAAATTAGAGGAGGCACATGTGCATTGCTACAATGCTGGCACAAGTAATCATGACCTAATTAGTACACTGCTCAAGTCTGATAAGTCTGTTTAGGACTAGCTTTGATCTACAGCATAAACCCGAGGTTTGTGGGACAGATCAAATTAGAGCAAATTAAAAAAAAAAACCCTTTGACAAGCTCATTCAGAAGGAAAAAAAAAATCATGAGGTGAGCTTTCATGTATGATATTTAACTAGCACATTCGTTTTTACACAATGGTTTAGGGATCCTTTATAGTGTATAGCTATCCAAAGCTTTTTTTGTTTGTTTTAGTTTTGGATAGCATGTCAAAGAGTTTATTTTTTACGGTGTATGTTTCCTTGGGGCGATTTTCCCTTCCTCTCAGAACACGATGTGAGAGGAGATCTTTAAAAGTGAGAGGAATTCCCCTCTTAGACCGTTATCCCTGTTAGAAGTTTTACCCTCACCTCCTTGTTCTGGTGACAGCTATAAAATGTCTGATTTCCCAGCACTCTGTCTCGTGGTCTGCTCACCAGGACAAATAGAGGGCAAATCTACCCAGCGAGGACACAAACCGTAACAAAACTAGACCCTTGGCGCTCAGCCTGCAATTTGGCCTTTGATCCTTGGAACCCAACAGTCAGAAGTGGGGTCTTCAGTTTGTAAAGTGGTACGAACAGTAATCTCTACTAGTCTGCACCTTCTTCTGCAGCATGTCTCCAGTTCCCAACCAAATCTGTAGCACACACAGAGTGGAATTTATCAAAACTAGAGCACACAAAATGTGGAGCAGCTGTGCATGGTAACCAATCAGCTTCTCTCTTTCGTTTCCAAAGCTTAACTGAAAAAACTGAAGAGAAACTGACTGGTTGCCATAGGCAACTGCTCCAGATTTTGTGTGCTCCAGTTTTCATAAATCCCCCCGCACATCATTTACGCTGGTATGTCTGCTCTCTGGAAGACCTCTCTACCCTTACATAGATGGAACATTATTGGTTGCTCTTTGGTGATGGCAGATAAGGCCCCCAATATCTCGTAAAATGACAACCACTGTTTCACTCTACTCCATCAAAGCAAGAGAACATTTTTGGCTATACATACACCTTGAGTATTGACAAAGTGGGAATGATAAAATGTGTCTGGTCCATGAGGAATATACATGTGCAAAAACTGAAGCGTTTAAATAGACTGTTTAAAAAGCAACTGCAATAATCACCTGTTTAATGTGTGGTTGTCCTACAGTAGCTCCATCTTTAACACTACTGTCTCGGAGATGGCTCAGGCATAGTACATCATTGAGCTGAGAAATGTTAATGGAATAGCCCTGTTTTTTTGAATTACTTGAAATCATCTAACCTAGAAAGCAGCTCTAAAAGCAGTCTGTTATGAAGAAAAATAGTTTCCTAAAGTCTTGTATTGATGCTCGCATTCTCTGAATCCTAAGGTGTATGTTTGTTCTGGGCAGTAGTAATATCTCTTGCTTAATAGGGTTAGTGTCACTGCATTGTAACTATTTCATAGCTTTTTGCATTTAGAGTGGCAGTGACCCTCTGAGGTTTCTCACACATGTTCTGTTGCAGACCTTTGTGAATTCATGTTAGAATGTGCACGCACTCTTCCATTGGCTGTAATAGTAATTTTATGAACCGTGCATTTTTCTTCTAATTCTAGCTACCATATATGCTCCCCGGAGAAAAGGGCAACTGTCAGCTGACATCTGCATGGAAACAATTGGGGAGGAGATTTCAGAGCTGCGGCAGATGAAGAAAGGCGTGTTCCAGCGAGTTGTTGCCATATTTATACATTACTGTGATGTTAATGGAGAACCTGTAGAAGATGACTATATATAGAAGTAAAATAATCACAGTCGTGTGATGATTGTACTGGAGGCCCAGACAGACCAAGAGGAGATCCACGAAAATTAAGAACATTGCCATTGGACCACTTGGCTGAAAGCAGTCCGTGCCGCTCAACTTCAGGTGGCTATGTCTTGGAAGACCAGACTGTCTACTAAAGCAGCTCCATGCCCTTTATTCAATTAGCACTATGTCTTCCTGGAAGCTCTGATACGGTGTTGGTGACAGTGGTGCACTTGGATCTGAAAAAGTCTTCGCTGATCCTTCTCAAACGTTTGGGTTGCATAGGCCTTTCAATAATCTAGCTACTTTAAAGAGAACCTCAGGTGAACACATAATTTACTAATATATATATATATATATAAACCACTGGAACAGCTTTTGACTTATCTCTGCATTTTGTTGTTTGGATTCAGAAGCCAACAATCCACAATAGATTGAGTCTTCTACAGCCCAAGTATCCTCGAGCATGGGGTCCTCAGTGTGCACCATAATCCTGCACATTAAGTGCAAAGCAAGCACACCCTCAATAAATGCTGCTGGTTAGTAGGTGAAGGAAATCTCTCATGGAGCTACATACCCTTTTGAAGAAGGTTTCCATTGCCTGACTCGCAATCTGCATGCTAATTCAAGCAGCTGTTCAGCGTCACTGTAAATGAGGTGTGTACCTTGTAAGTCAGATGGGGCAGCTTCCAGCAGACAGGTATTCAGCTTAATGACCAATTCCAAACAAATGGAAATAGGACAAGAGCTTTGATCGTCCGTGTACCAAGCACTGTGTATTCAAGAAGGTAGCATTGGGCTTATGACAGGTGTACTTTGATGTTCAGTAAAGAGACTTGTGAAGCTCACAATTAAAGAAAGAACTACCAAGCAGACATAGTTGTGCTTATCTTTATCTCGACTGACATTCTTTTGACATACATCTTCATTCTTGAGGTATTCTGAAAGGAAGAAGAATATTCGAACCCTGTATACAATAAACACTCTGCAGTAAATAGCAGGACACTGTCAGTACCTTCTGGTAACAAATAATAAAGAATATTAAGCATGTGTTCTTGTGAAAGGATTTAAATATTACCAGACAATGTCTTATTAAAGAATGAGTAAAGAGTTAGTACAGTGACAGTATGAATCTGATGCATTTAAAACTGCAGGAAAAAAAATAAGCACAAAACTGGAGTTGTTGACCATGGCAACAACTCCATTTTGTTGTAATATTCCATGAAGTGAAACCTGTTGGGTTGCTGTTGGCAGCATCTTCATTTTTGTGCAGATTTTTCAGTTTTAATGCATCCGCCCTTTTACAGTAGGTGTGATGATTTAGCTGGAAACGTCAATGAGGCGCTCAGTACATGCTGGGAATGGATAACTGGTACCTGCATAATACTGCCCACCAAACCAAGTAAATGCTAAGCACCTGGCTTCACCCGCAGTTACGTCACCAATGAGAGCTGCAACTGATTTGCACCTGGCTTAACCCGCAGTTACATCACCAATGAGAGCTGCAACTGATTTGTGAGAGTACTTGCTGATTGTGTTCCATGGTCACACACATTTTTGTTCAATTGTAATAGATTTTTACACTGCATTTTACAGGGGGGAAAAAAATGTCCACCCTAAGCTACTGTCCACCAATGGGGTTGAATTGCCCACTAGCTGCTTCTATCTCTTGAAAACTCAAATGGGGGGATTTTCCTGCAGCAATTTTTTTCCTCCCACAAAGTGGATTACACAAATTGTTCTACATGATAAAGAATCCAATCTGGCAAAGTGGCACCATTATCTGATAGCTGTTGGAGCTAATTGGCAATTAGGCTTTCTGGTGTTCTGTGTAGACATAGTCATCCCAGGGACATAGCAAGCAGCCTGTGAATCAGTCAGCCAGCAACTACCCAAAACTGAAGTGGCACTTTTGAGTGAAGTTGATCTTAAACCATGACCTTTGCACTGAATCGAAGGCAAATCAGGATGTAAATGAGCGATTTCTAGAACTGAAGAAGTTTGTACTTTCTGTATTTTTGTTTCCTAATTACAGATATGTTTTTGTAAACTTTTTCCATAGGCTTTGTGGCAATTTTTAAATCCATCTCCTGCACCTTCCAAATAACAAGTAAAAGCTCATTGAACTGGTCACCTTGTCAGTTTGTATTTTTCATTTTTAATCTTCTAAAACAATCCGAAGTATCCTTTTGATTTTAGTCATCTTCAACATGTAGCTGAGTGCTGTGGAAATCCATCACTTTTCTGGTATTCAAAACACCTTTAACCCCTTCATTACCTATTACAGTATCGTGTTTTTTTTTGGCTTTGTAACGTGCCTTAGTAAAGCACTATGACAATTAGTTTCTTCTTATGCCCAGGCAGCAAAGATACAATAGCCTTCCCCCTTCATACCCAATCTGCTGTGCTGGGCTTAGAACCTGCTGTCGTGTGAACCCACAGGCCCGTTAGAGAAATTGTACATTGGAGAAAGTACACTGTGGCGGACCTCATCTTCTGAACATACCTATTGATCCAGTGGCTGTAAAGGAGAACTACTGGGATAGTAAACCGTACTCTTCGCTATAGTTTGAGCTGGCATGTATTCCTATAGCTCCCGTTCACATTTTCCGTTTACATGAATATGTCACAGATCTGCTTAAAAAAAAATGTGTGATATACACTTGGAAATGTGCGTGCAAAAAACACTGAGCGTAATCCGCACTGAAACGATGTAGCCTTGGTGTGAACGGGGGCTGAGCGATCACAAACCGATTATCGCTCAGCTCATGGCTTCTCCCTGCAGACAACCGCTCCCCACAGGGTTCCACCTTCCCCAATACTCCGGTGCTCATTGGAGGGACAGACATGGGAGGGGTGGCTCTAGAGAAGCAAAGGCCGCTGTCAATCAGGAAGCGGGGTGGATCCCGACAATGTTGTCGGGATCTTACCTGGCTGCATTGCAGCTCTATGCTATGAGCATATAGCGGGCTATATGCTCACCATATGCTGACTTTAGTAGATAAGTAAATGTACTCCTGTGACCCAAAACAGAACTAAGGCCAACAAGGTTTGGCTATAGTTCTTTTTTAATACTCCGTCATTGACCTGGAAAAGGCCAATTTGAAAGTTGGTAAAGTTAGAACTCCTGATTTGTACACTTGTTCCAGGTCATGCTTCAGAAAAGTATTGGACTTCTGTCTAAATTTCTGATATACATACTTGTTTTAAGTCCGTGACCCAAAGTTATGAAGCCTAAGCCATTCAGGCACCTAGGATTCGAAAAAGTGACCAGTTGTTAGCCTTCTTGTTTCAGTACATATTTCCTAGGCCTTGTTTAGACAGGGCCTTGTATACTGAGAGGGCCGCAGCCGGGACGGATCCCGACATTACTGTCGAGATCCACCCAACTGCGTGATTGACAGCTGGCTCTGCCTATCTAGAGACAGCTGTACCCGGGGGGGCGAGATCCCTTCAGGGAGCTGTGGGTGACGGTCATGGCTCTCTTCAGGGAGATGATCGAGAAGTGAGCGAGCGACGGTATGTGTTTGCTCGCTTCCCGATCTATTGAGCCGACGTGTGACAGTTTAATTGACAAACGTCGGCTGTAACTATGAGGATGATAGTTCTCCTTTAAGATCCACCTCATAGTTCTCCTTTAAGAGCAGTGTGTATAACATTCTTTGGTAAAGCGTTTTGCAAGATCAGCTTTGTTGAAACCTTTAAAGAACTCTTCAAAGCCTTTCTGGTAGTGTTAAAACACAGATCCTAAAGACTCAATTCAAAAAAACTTCAGCGGGTTTTCAACCATCTTCAAATTGGCAACAGTGGATAAGCGCACTACCGCTGGGTGAAACTTAGTGGAATTGGACAAGGGATGAAATCCACAGTGTGCAAGCTCTTTAAACCAGGGAGAAGGACCCTGTGACCAAATTAGCAAAAATTACACACATACAAAGAGCGCTACTACTGTGGGAGTGTATATGACTCGCGTTTAAGATGTCAGCATGCTTCTAGGGAGCTCATCTGACGTCCGTGTAGCTTGTGGTATTAGAACCCTTTGCTGTTCGTGGGAGCGGTGTCCGTCGTCTGCACAGGCTCAGCTGGCCAGGCTGAGCCGTGGCGGCAGAAAAACAGGGGGAGTGTGAGTGCCGAACCGCTCTGATCACAGAGCGCTGGTCCACGGCTGTAGTGACACACCGTCACAGTTTTACATTGTAAGCCCTCACGGGTAGGGCCCTCGTTACCATCTGTTGGCGCTATATAAATCCTGTATAATAATAATAGGATGGCATAAAGTAGGCCCGGGGAGCGCTGTAAACACAGAGATTTCTCTAACTGGCGGCTACGCGTTTCTAAGCGCAGCCTCTTTGTCAAGCCTTCAAGTAGTGCTGAAGCTTATTTAAGCCTGCTAGCAGCTTGTTTAAAGTGACAGTCAACAATCCCTTAAGGATCTGTGCTTAGCTTTCTCAATCTGGAGCTGAATGGATCTTCAAAGGCTTCAAAACAGCTTGCTGAGACGTCTGCAAATGCTTTGAAAAAGCCTGCTCTACATTCACTTCTTTTATACAAGCAGAAGCTTGTGTGAACAAGGCCTTAGGCCTTATAAAACCGCTATATGTGAATACAGTCTATTAGTTTTTATTAGGAATGCACCAATACCAGTCTTTGGGTATCGAGTAAGAGTACCGATATTTATATACCAATGTTTTACCGATACCAGTACTTCTGGGAGCATGGAGCCGGCTTCCTGGCCGATCTGGAAGCCAGGCGGCGGGCCATTACCTGCTGCCTGGCTTCCTGATTGGCCGGGAAGCCGGCTTCATGCTGATGCTCATTACTCACCACCCGACTTCCTGTTTGCTAGCAGCATTGCCTGTCGGAGGAAATCTCCCTCTGACCGGAAGTTCTGGTATTGGGAGGGGGGGGGTTAAGTATCAGAGCATTTGAGCAAGTACTCGTCTAAATACTCAGTATCAGTACCAATACCTATGCTAGTATAGGTATCGGTGCATCCCTAGTTTTTATCTTATTTATACCATTTTCATGTATGCATTGCTTGGAAATGGGAAAGATATGAAGGTGGTAACATAATGTAGATGTATTATCCTGGATATTTTTCACTGACCTATAAATATCAAAAGTGAAAGTATCAAAAAAAAGCCATTAATCTTCATTTATCCTTTAGCAGTGCAACACACAATAGAACACAAAGTGCAGATGTAAATGGAGCTGAACAGTTCACAGTCCCAAATATCATTACTGGAACATTTAATTTCATAAATAT